ATTATTATCATTCCAAAAGATGGATTGCAACGACTGTTCCTTCAGTAAAAGCTTTTATTTATACAATGGGGCAATGTATTGCAATATATTGCTTCTAACTTTCGTATTGCACGCGTAGATAGATGTCTTTGTATTATAAAATATATCTCGCGTGTTCGCAGGCCTTCGAGTGTAGCGTATCCATAATTAACTAAAAAGATGTATACATATATATCTTTCTGTGTAAACCGCATCCTTAGAGGGTTCTTTTCGACGTGCTGTCTTCTTTGACATCATTAGTTGAACAGTAACCTGTTTCGAAATATTAATATAAAATATGAGTGATTGTTATATATTCAGATAGTCTCATCTAAACAATGAGATCATCGGTAACGAGATCTGACGCTACAACGAAACTGCTAATCTGTAGAGGTATGAGAAGAGGTCTGTTGTTAATAACATCTCATTTCGGGTAGTATGATGATAAAAATATGTATGTCTTATCGATGTTTAAGAATCGCATGTAGAGAATGATCATATTAATTAAAGCGGTGGATCTAAATGCAATCCTCAATGACCGAGGTTTCAGTAATTTCTCAGTGGTTTGTACAGAAGTTGTGCTATTTGCATTTTTTCGATGCGCGCATCGAGGGATGCTTTGTCGATGACCTTTCTCACCGTTGGTTGAGCCTTTGTACACTGCACATCGAGACGAAGTACACGTATTAGCATCTGTTATTTAAAATAGCTTATCTTCGTATATATTTTAGGAACAAGTTTTCCTGATGAGAGTACTCGTGTAAAGCGTCCATTTATATGATTAACCACGTCCATTCTATGGATCCTGACTTTCAACTATTCGTAGCACAAATCAAGTTTTCAATAGGCGTGCCATGCGTAAAGAAGAAACGACATTTGAATCTAGATCATTAAAAAATCCACGATAAGACCGGCAGTACATTCTGTAAGTATCAACAGTTATAGGCAGCGTCTTACACAAATGAAACAGCGGTACGTGAAAATATCAATATTCTCGAAATGAGCAGTTTCTCTAAAAAAAATAAAGCCTAAGAAACTCTACACTTTCGTAAGATATTACTCTAGTCCAGACAGAGCGTTTATTGTAATAGTTGGCGCAATCCAGACTTAGATTTTATACTTGTCATCATTATTATCCAAATAGTTCAATATTTGGATATTAAGTGTGCAGATTTGCGCAAATATTCCTCCCACATTGAGCGTGTTACCATTTCTTCGATGCTGAAGCTAGGCGACATTTATGTTTTTCTATCTTCATTATTCTCATTCTTTCTCTTTCTTTACGCTTCAATGGTTTAAATTGAATTTACCTCAATTTTGTTGCCTAGATATAGGCGCATGAGAATTAATAAGTAGATTGTCTATATGACAAGCGACTTGTTAGTCCCTACTCTTTAAATGTATCTTTTCAACATAATCGTACAGCATACGCCACTCATGTATATATTTTTGTTCTTCTCAAACTAATGCACTGAGCTGTTGACGTATGAAATTTCAGTCACGCGCAAGTCTATTCTATCTCGTAAATAATGCGATTTTTCTTCGAAGTGTCTCTCTAATTGAGCACTTAATTGACTCATGTCTATATGTTTTTAAAGGCGTTGACATTTATTTTGCAGCTAAAATCAGACGGATCGTAAAAAATTAATCATAAGACTCGAACAAAAACCTCGTGTTGAATGATCAGAGGACACAAATAAGTCACTGCAATTAAATGATTGTCCAAAAATACCCAACGCCATTATTTATATAACGAACTGCCTTTTAATTGTTCGGAGATGAAATAGCTGTACGGCGCATGCAACGAAAGAATAGCCATAGCCTGTAGTAAACACCGCATCACGCATTTATATTGGCACACGTTGATGCTATAAGATTTAAACAAATTGCGACGGTTCTTTTTGTACACGATCATGATGATTATTGAAAGTATTGTGACAATTTCCATGTCGTAAATGCGGTCATTATATGTGGTGTCGATCACAGCAGATGCGATGTCATCAGAAGGACAGCAGTAAACTAAACCGTTGTGGGGTATCCTGCTCGGATAAAAAGAAATATGCAGTCGATCATTATTCAGAGGAAATTAGATATAATGAATCCACTAATCGGACAAGCTACAAGCTTAATCTGCGCGTACGCTTTTCTCATATCTATAAGCAGCACTAAGTACGCTATATTTATAAATAATTGTCGAAAAGTATATGATTTCTCTTGTGCATCGCAGCTAACTAATACCGTGCCGGCACAAGTAAACATTCACGTATCGAATTTAGTCTAATGATCTGTATATCATGCGAAAATAAAATTAATTGAGGCAAAATGTTGTCCAATGAAGGGCAGTAAACTCGCAATTGATATAATACAGTTTAATGAATTTTCTGTTCAGCAAAATGAAAGTATGTATGTGTAATCAATTAAGTTTTTATCGATGATAGATGATAAAAAATAAAGAATTCATCCTATTCAGTGGTTTTTATATACACACTTTTTATTTACTTGCCCTGAGAATAAGCAACCACGTAATATTAGGGAGAAGTGATTCATTTCGTCTTTGCCAACCTGCATCAGCAAATATTTTGTTGCATAATTGCTAGCGTCAATAAATTAATTCAATACAGCAATGTATTGAGTTCAGCAATAAACAGCTTTCGTTGCAATGCATAATGCTATCACTAGCTGAGAGTAATCGTTCAGTAGAAGTAAAATACGTTTTAGCAATGCAAACAAAGTTGGGGCCGGGTGGGCATGATGGCGCGAGTGTTGTGCATTAACATCACCAACTAAACATAGGTTTTGCAGCTTGAAACATATATTTGCAAAGTATTTGTGTCCGTAGTTATGTTTGAATTCTTTAGTAAGCTTATCTCACGAAACGTCCAAACGTGGCATTCTGCTAGTTGCATATACATTCTATTATATGACGCACTATGTGTGCTCATGTACAAGTTTGCGAGTCTTGTGGATATGAGGTATACAAAATAATTACACTGAAAATACCCGCGCGTCTAGCAGCGATTAGTAGTACCACCAATCGCTGCTGGACGCGCGCGATGGGTGGTGAGCAAGATCCCACAAAGGGACTTGTAGTGTAATTTAGTCAGACAAAGACAAAGGTAGTTTAATCGACTATATTAAATGCAGTTCTACTTTCACCTTAATCAGAGCTTCCGAGTTTTAGGTACTTCCTTGCGCTTCTTCACTCCACGTGTACGTGACGTCGAGAGTACGCCCTCTTGTATTGATATCAATACAAGGTCTTGCTCAGTTATCTGAGCAAGAGCGTGCCCCGTATAACCCTGCCCCACGTCGTATCCACTAAAATTTTGTTATTGATTGCTGATCTTGACTATGATTACTCAGCGTGTCTTACCACATACGTGCCTATTATTAAGTACCCATTCCGCCGCCCGTCACATTTTGGTAGTATATAAACGTAGAAACGGTGAAATACGAAGGATCGTATTGTCTCGATTTGCCGAACCCAGTTTTTATGCTGATTCATGCTCTTCGCGAGCACTGTTGCACTCGCGATCAATGAAACGAACGTCTAACACGAAGATCGTTGCACAGTGGTACCTCAGACGACACCGTTAACTCCTTGAGGTATCGAAAAACTATGGCATGTTTATCGAGATGCTGCTCCAGCTTCTGGTGGCAACGCTATTGCTAGTGGTCATGATGTTATTGTGGGGGCGATTTCTTTGCTTCCCGAAGCGTCGAGCTTTTGCTCATTCGTACAGCTCGTCCTTTTTCGGTTTGCAGTCATGCGCGTGGGTGCGTAACTTGCATACAGAAAGACAGAATGACAGGAAGACATACGGACGAAATATGGATACCAAGAAGATCGATATTTGCCTTTCACACACTCGCTGACAGCTTCACCCTTCAAGCTCGCACTCCTTTGAGTCACTTATTTGTTCGCTCCTGCCTTGCCAAATGAACCCTCATGCTCACTCATGATGGCACTAGTACGAAAGTTGCCACCCAAACCCACAGAGTGGGGGCGATCATGGGCGGGGGGGGGGGTCTCAAGACCGTGGATGTCGACTGCAGAGCTCGGGATCTCATGATGATAGTTATATGTTTCAAACGCTGTCATAGGTACCGTGGTTCTGGCTATGTGATATCGGCGAAGTCGGTGTGTAAGACGCAACGCATTAAATGACCACCACGGTTTGTGCCGTCATGTGTACTCACCAACCTCTAGATGCGTATTTGATTTTTTGATGCGCGCCGGGTCAACGTCTTATCAGAAGTCAAAATTCTACTTCATGAGCAACGTGTGTGGTGAGTGCGCAACAAGCGTGCGTATTGCGCTTTTCAAGTCGAGTGGTAGTAGCTACGAGAAAATTTGTCGAAAACTGCCCAGTGAATGCTTAGATCGTGGTGGACCGTGATTCACGCCTCTTCACATGGAGTTCTGGTGAAAGAACGCCAACGCTAAATTTGTGTTGTCTGATTCTGTATACCGCGGCCTATAGAGTCTGTCTGATCATAGTGCGGACACTGCGATGCTAACGTCATCTGATTATGGTATACATGATCTCACTGGTACAGCATCCAGCACACGCTTGCCATTTGCACCATTCAGCAACAAGGGCCCTCAATACCAACAGCAAACCAGTAGAAGTCAGTTTCCTAGCATATCCACCTTCTTTCAGAATGCACCTGTCGTTCATGCGGGTGAACTGCCTTAGCATCCATCATATCTCCGGAAATAGTGACGTAAGTGCTTCGTTGGGATCATAGAAATAGAACCTGCCTTTTAGTATACACTACAACGTACACATCCTTTGAGGTGTTACCGGTGACGTTGAAGTAACACTTCTTTTGAACAGCTTGTATCCGAGTACTTTTGAATGCGCTTGAGCACATAAGTATGTTCCGCTTCAAATTAGTAAGAGCGAAATGAATGGCTCGCAGTGATTGAAGTCGCAGTGTCCCACAATCGCATCCAATACACAAGCACATTCTGCAATATGAGTGATATCTCCAAGGACTTCCACGCGCTCCTACACCGTATTGACGACGTTGCAGCGGTGCGCTCGATGCTTTTATCTTCTTGACGAGCTCATACTCCTTTCCTTCAGTTTGGCAACCGCAAACCGTTTCTAAACGACCCTTCTTGCACTGGACTAACAGGACGATTACACGGAGACGACGCCCTATGCGTCGCAGTACCGAGTACTTGAAATCCTACAAAAGATCAGAGTTGCCACTCCATCTCCAGCTGTACGCCCGCTGTTTAAGATCGTAGCTGAGTAAAACACCAGTAAAAGCTGATTCGTTCCTTTATGTGATAATGCACAGCAAAAAGCCGTGGTAGCTGCTAAGCTAGGCGGAGTTTACCTAGCAGTGGGAGAGCCGCACAGTACGTCATTTGTAGTTTTCTAGTCTGAGACACGTGCATTGAAGTGATTTCCGCCTATGGTTTGACTTTGTCTCTGTTCTAGATGCTGAGCCAATGCTGTATGAAGCTGGGCAATTTTTCGTTCAGGAGCTGGTAACCTTCACGCAAAAGATTCCATTGGATGACAGCTCAAAGGGTGAAGTGAAAATCAAGGAGGTAGTGACGAAACTGCTGGCAGATATGCCACAAGTGGAGATAAAGAATGAGCACGAGGAGTTTGAGGGGTATGTCGTGGAGCTTTTGACTCAAATGGGCTTGCTTTGGTCGAAACGTTCTCGACTGCTCCGGGCGGTGTGCTATTTGACGGCGGCGCTGAATGTGCTCGACAAATGCGGCCACAAAAAAGCCGACGGAATGGTGTCAGCTCAGACGATGACGCGTCTTTACCTTGCGCAGTCATACGAAAAATTGGGGATGGCAGATAACTCGGCGGAGTTCTGTTTATCAACGCTGGAACTGCAGCTGTTGCAGTGTTTCGACGATACTGAAACTGGCGATATGTCGAAACCTACGGGTGCCCCTGACTGGGTGCGAAATGCGTTGAAGCTTGCCGAATACTACCTCGATGCAAACAACCTTAAAGATGCAGCCATATGTCTACAAGGTTGCGAGTACATGCTGCTGTATAGAGGAATCGACGAGGGGGACGAGGAGGAAGAAGAGGAAGCCCAGATGTTACTCGTTGCTGACATTTACTCGATGTGGGGTCGGTTGCACATGACTACGCTTCGGTTCGCCGGGATGAGAAAGGAAGGGTCGTATGCAAGAAATGCTGGCCCTGCATTGCATCACCTCAGCAGCATGGAGGCAATATTTGCCAAGCTCTCCCTTGCCCGACAATGGGGGAAAGGCCAATTGAAACCAGGACTCGGCATGATGTTTGTGTCCCCGCACTGTGTGGAAACGTATGAGCAAGCTCGCGACGTATTCAAAATGGGCATTCGCGCTTGTACACGTGCAAGGAAGGCGTTTGATCTTGATGGCTTTGTAACTGAGCATGTGCGCCTTTTGCAGCAAGAAAGTGCGTTGTATCGCCAATTGCTTCCGTTTGAGGATTCTCGGGGGCGACGTGTCGCAATGCAAAGGCGGAGACTAGCATTGTTGACATCCGTGCTTGGAGACACATTGAACGAACGTTCAATCCCGGTTGACATCCTCCAGGAAATTTACTTCGAGTGCGCAGAGATTAATACCGACGTCTTCGAGATCAAGCAAAGTAAGGAGGCAGGAGAAAAACCCATGACGTATGCGATCGGTGCCATTCAGTGCTACCAGCAGTTCCTCCTGCTATATTATCCTCCATCAGAGGTTGGAGGTGCAACGAATAACGACCAAGTGCGAGCGCGCGTGTTGCGCGGTGGAAAGGATGCGCAGCTTCCACACGGAAAAGCTTTGTGCCCGAGGGAGTTCCGCGCGATGCTGATGGGCTACTATGGTCTTGCTCATGTGTGTGGAAAGGTTTTGTGTTTATCCGACACCGCTAAGATTGTGGGATTTTGGCGTCAAAGCCTTGCATACTACGAGGTAGTCCCAGCATTGGTCCGGGAATACGAAAATCTGTATCACGCGTCTTACGGACACGAATTGAGCCGCAGCTTGAAAAGTGAGGTCACAATTTGCGGCGAGATGGCGCGATTGCTGCCAGAGAAAATCGACCAGCTCGTGTACAACGGCAAGGCGCTAAAGGCATGATTTGGCGCAGTTTTGTTTTCACAATTGCCTATGTTCGCACAGTAACGGTTCTCTTTCGAGCTGCCACGTCGATGCAATACACGTTTTTTTCTTGAAAAAGATCATACGATTCTGTTCCGAACAAACAAACTGTTTACATTTGTCGTAGAAGAGGAATGGCGCCTGGATGTCCTTCCCGTGCAGCCGGACAACCAGCCACATGTGACGAAAAGACACACATGCATTTTTAGGGCATTTCCTACAAGGTCCGTATCATCAAGATACGTAGGCGTGCAGCTGGCTCGAACTTGCAAAGCCCAAGTCGCATGAGGGCTTCCTACCAAGTCTGTCGAGCTAGTGGCGATCTGCTGCTCGGTCGAATATGCAATCAGGTCTATGGAGAGCTTCGTCGCGCACTAACATAAGCGCTCGTGATCGCGAACATCCGGACGAAATTTTATGGGGATCGACAGAATTAGGAGATATACCAGGCAGGAGTCGTCCAGGGTGTTTAGATACCAACCAACTCTTCACAAAAAAAAGACTTGCTTGTGGCATGGGAATACCCACAAGAGCCAGAGCGATGACAAGTGTAGCTAGCAAGTAGCTCAGATGTGTATGCTCACGCTGAACAATACATCGCGTCGTGAGATAGACTGAACGTTGTAGCGTCCTCGATGAAATAAGGATACGTACACTGGGTTGATGCTGAAAAAAGCTTTGTCAAGTACTTTCCAAAGCTGAAAGTTGAAGACCATAAGCTGTAGTCATCCCAAAGCGCTGCGATTGCCGCTCATGAGAAGAAGATAAGTGCCAGCTACTCGGACCACATAGAACAAATCCACTACGATGTGGATGGCAAGCTCGACGCAGAATCTGCTTGGGTTCAGGTGACTCAAGAGGAGGAGCGTTTGGGTGGCTGGGCCTGCTGGTCACTATTCCGAGGAAGAACATTGTTGCAAGCCTCCGATGCGCGAATTTGAGTGTTGAGCAGGTGAGCATCTCTGTAACGGGGCACACCTTTGCGTGAACTTCACGCAAGTGTTTTGGTGCGCCCGACAGGCGTACACGAAGCAAACGAGGAAGCGTAGATAAGGGAAAAGTAGAACTGCTATATTAATATAATTAAGTCTTTTAACCACTGTCTCTCTGTTTGACCTAACTTAATTATACTTATCTAATTGAATGCATGACGACGTCTACTCACCACTCATTGCGCGCGTCTTGCGGCGATTGGTGGTTTGATATCATCAAGATATCAACCAATGAGCAGACACTTTGGTTGACCCTTCAATATCACCACTATGGTGATATTGTTCAAAGAATATTTAACTTCATATTCTTTATTGTCACATTCCTTAAAGTGACAATTCCATGTAACGGGATGCCCCGTTACATCACCCCCCTTAACTGATAGTCACCGTGTGACTATCAAAAATATGGCGGCCACACGTTGGGCACCATTGGGACAGGGAGCACTTGTTGGGTCCGTTCCATTCGCTTTCCACCCGACCTCGCGTAGTTAACATGTCTATGCGGGTTGACTCAAGACACGAACAGCCCGCTGCTGTGCCAGCCTCTGCGGCAGACGATTCGTCGTCTGCTACTCGTTCTCCGCCTGCAGCAACAGGTTCTGCAGGTGCACGCGGTATCACACTGCGTGCGCATGATGACCCTGACATAGAGGTCATCTATTCTGGCAGGTCAGACGTGTCTGACTCGGAAAAGCCTTTGGAGGCATCGCGTTCACCTGCGGTGCCTCATTAATCCACGACACTGCCGGACGTACGGACTCGTAAAATGTGTCACAGTCTGTTCGGCAGTGATGATGAGTATGATGATGAGTTCGATTGCTCATCACCGCGATCAACTCGTGCTCCTTCGCACGAGCGACTTGACGATGGTGCAAGCCATCGTCATACTGACAACCGTAGTACCGACAAGGTTACCACTGTAAAGCGTGAAGAGATGAAGCCGTGGCATTTGCCTGAACGGCTCATCAATGGCTTGTCTCACGAGACAAGCCAACAACATCGAATATCCTTATTAGATGCGAGTGAGCTTCACGACTTGGATCCCAGCGCGAGTAACTTTCGCGCTGAGGAAGACTTATATCTCGATGTCTTTCTTAGACATCGATGGTACAACAGCAACCAAAAGCGTGACAAGGCCTCGATTTGGCTGCGTGAAACGCGTTCGTCCAAAACGTAAAGAATTTTGGACGAGAAGGGTGGCTCAAGAAACTTGAGGCGACACGCCTCAGGTTCGAAAAGCGAACGCCAACCGGTGCCAGGTACCGGTTGCATCGTTTATCAAGTGAGGCAGACATTCCTTGCCTCACATGTGGAGACCCATGTGCGAGTTGTGTTGACAACTCGCAGAGTGCACCTAGGGACATGTTTTCTCTAAGTTCGACCTGGGGAAGGGCACACATCTCGAGTGAGATGCGTGACGCGATTGCAAACTTGGAATCCGTCTACAAGCGCCTAGGGCGCGTGCTAAACGATGGGCCCTCGGACCAATCGGATGGGTCTCGTCATACTGGCGGACGAGACCTTCAACGTCCATCAACACCTGAGAGCGGGGCTCTTAGCTGTTCCAAGAGGGTGGATACCCCCGCCACTGGATAAGGTAGCTCTTACTTGATCCTGAATCGTCACGGTGATTCAAGATACCGTCCACAAGAAAGCGTTGACCACCATGAGAATCCACCAAAGGATGTGATGGAGGAGAAAAGACCTCCTCCAGATGATTCTGCTCACCATCTCGACCCTTACGAGATGGATCGCGCAATCGATGAATTGCGCGATGACTTAAAGCACGAGCGCGACCGGCGCTACTCTTTGACTGATACCGTGCGGAAGAACCGCAAGGATAGCGAGGCTGATCAAGCGAGAGACCGCACCGATTATGCCACGGCGTAGCTTCAGGCTAAGCGGGGTGTCCGCTCCCTATTCGGCGAGCTGGCGACAGCTCGCGGGGAAATATCTCGGTTAAGCTCCGAGGTATCATATCTGCGCGACCAGAAGGATCGTCTGGAGCGCGAACGCAAGAACTTGATGGATGTTCTTGAACGTGGGGGCTATCTTCATTGGAAGAAGAAGGCTCGTAATGACAGTACGGCCTGAGACTCCCCACGTAAAACGTAGGATGCGTGCGCATCTTACGTGGCAATTCGATCGTGTATGCATTGCCCTTGCGATGCAACACTCGACATGGCCCAATGTATTTCGGCAGTAGTTTACTACTGCCGACACTAGTGACTACATGTACAGGTAAGTTTACCGTAGACAGTAGTACTAGGTCATTAACTTTAAATGAAAGAATATGTGCTCTTCCATTCTTGTCTGCGTTCCGTTTCTGGCGGTCCACCGCATTTGCGATGGTTTCCTGAACGAAACGGACTACCGCCTCTCGAGTCAGCAGGAAGTTCTCTGCTGACTCGTTGTTTTGTCTTTCAGTGCGCTTCGTGCGCACTGCTAAGAGATTGTTCTCTTCTTCAGCGAGGTTGTCTTCTTCCTCGCTGAAATAATCGTTGACGATGCTGAATATGTCAGCATCGTCATCATCATCCGAGTCAATAATAGCGTCGCCGCTATTACTGAATTGATCTTCTTCATCGATGTCGACTTGATCGACATCGGAATCATACGTGACGACGTTAGCGTCGACACGTGATGAGCAAGAGCCGAAACGGTTTTTGCTCGAGCGAGTCACTCCGCCCCTTATCCAAGAGTCACACTCTCGAAGGGCGGGCACACGTGGACGGCGTAGGCCATTCACGTAAAACGGTGTGTGCTGTGTGGAAGCATGCACAGAATTATTGATGGCGAATTCCACCATGGGTAGGAATTCGCTCCAACTCGGAAACGAGTGGACATATCCTCGAAGGATCTCTTCGAGGACACGGTTCGCCCGTTCCGTCTGACTATCTGTTTCGGGATGGTCAGAAGTAGACATCTTCAATCGTGTTCCGAGAGAACGGAACACGGTTTGCCAAAATGCCGCCGTGAACCGAGGGTCACGGTCGGATACGAGTTCACGGGGTAACCCGTGGAGTCTAAAGACCGTGTCTAGAAGACACGAGCACAACCTTGAGCCTTGATCGACTCAGGGACAGCAGCAAGATGCACCATATTGCTGAATCGGTCAACAAACACAAGATACCATTATTCTTGTGGTCGTCTTCGGGAAAACCGAAGTCGAAGTCCATTGAAACGGACTGCCAGCACTCTGCCGGAACAAGCAGAGGTTGCAATGGTGCACGGGATGAAGGACTAGGCTTCACCCGTTGACAAACCTCGCATGCACGTATGTACTTGCGTACAAACTGATACTGGCGTGGCCATTAAAAGTCACGATTTACCGTGAGGTAATCTTTTCTCTCCTACGATGGCTACCTGTTGGGGCATCGTGACACTCATACTCGATGCGTAATCGCAAACTATGATGAGCGGGTACGATGACACGAGGCGTGTCGTCGGCAACAGCTGTATTGTACAGCAATTTGTTGCGTGTGCTATACCGATCCGATGAGGATCAATACAAAGCCGGTCAATCCCTCATGGATTTATTGGATATATGCATTAGATGATCCATCAATCGCAGAAGATCCTTATCATCTGCGTACGTCTTTCTTACGTCGTCAAGTAAGCTTGACGACGGAACACTGGCTGTCATTGTCGGAACAGTGGGCTTATTTTCACTATTGAATTGTGCGACCGGCTCGAAATCGGGCCGGCGCAAAAGCGCATCAGCGACGACATTTAGTCGTCCTGGTTTATACTCCACGGAGAAGTTGTACTCCGCAATAAATGACAGTTGCCTTGCCATTCTCTGCGAGATGTGTGGGCTGTTTACGGCCGTGCGTAGTGACGTATGGTCGGTATACACGATGAACGGTCTATCTCCCAAGAGATAGACCCGGAACTTAGCCAGTGCGTACTTCATGGCAAGGAGTTCCTTGTCATGCACTGGGTAATTGCGCTCAGCTGCTTGCAGCTGACGCGACTGATAACAGA